TTTGAACTTCCCTATTACTGTTGACGTCAACACCCTTCTTTCAATCATGTGGCTTCAAAACCTCATCTTAAATTCTTCTCCTTACTCTTAGCCCACAAGCAGCAGCAAGTTGACAAATCTTATTTCTACTTTTGAAACATCTCACAGATATGTCTCCTCCTCTATGTTCACATAGTTACCATCTGGTGTAGGCCCTCATTATCTCTAGGTGAGAGATAATTACTGTACTAGCCTTCTGATTGGCTGCTTTGACCTAAACCTCTCTTCACTCTGATCTGTCCTCCACACAGCTACCAAACTAATTCTTCCAAAACACCGATCTGCCCATGTCACATACACTTTCTCCCATTCAATGAATTTAATGTTTCTCTATTTTCTTTGGGAAGAAACTTGATGCTCCTTGCACACCATCTCTGGTCTCTTTGCCTTTGTGCTGGTTGTCCCCCATGCTTGGAAGGTTCTCTCTCCTCACTTCCACCCCTTTGTGTTCTTCAAGATTCAGCTCAAATGCCACCTTCTATGGGAGGCCTTTCCCAATCCTCAAGGTTACCTTCCTTTTCCTCTCTCTGTTTTCTCTGTACTTATATATTTGTGTATTTTCTTCTCCATTAATACATAAGCTTCTTGAGGGCAGGGGCATTTTAATGTTTATTTTTTCCCTTTTTTATATCCTTAGTGCTTGACACAGTGTCTGGCACATAGTAAATAGCTGACAAATATTTGTGGATTGATTTTGTTCCCTTTAAAGAACAAAGTCTAGGTCAGCAGAGCTGAGTACCCAAAGAAGAGTGGTTCCCACAAGTAGCAGAGATGCTGGGAATATATCCTGGGCTGGATACAACTAGGGAATATGAGGAAAGTGGAAGTTTCAAGGACATCTATGCATTCCGTATAGATCAATCCTTTTACCGTCGTCCATCTGCAGCCACTTTGTCTGATGGTTCTTTCTGCCTCTCTTGCCTACTATGGGTGGCTTGGTCCCTCTGGGGACTTTATTCCTGGAGATAAAGGTTCTATTTCTGTTCAGCCCCTCTGGGTCCTCTATGTTCAGTAAGCATAGGATAGGATAAATGAGATTGGATTTCTGAGGAGATACTTGGACTGTTTGGCAATGGAACTGACAACCTTCTCCTTGCTAGAGCCAAACACTCAGTCAATTCACCCTGCTTTAGGATAGGCTAGTTGTACCCAGAAGAGGTTGGCAGTTAATGCTATTGAAAATGCATCAAGGGTCAGGTTGCATGCTCTGAACTGAGCCAAGATCCTGAGTACATCCATCTCCAGTGCTCTGAGTTCCTGGGTGCTGATTCCTTCGGAGTTTCTACCTTTATTTCTGATAATCACTCCTACTGGAAGTATAAGTTGAACATCCTCAGGAAACCAAAATGTTTATACTCTTTTGCTTGCCTGAAGTGGGCACAGCCATAGGGAACTAAACAATTTCAAGCTGTACATTTCCTAGAACCCCTGTGTCCAGATTAAGCCTACATCTGGGAGGAATTCCAGGGTCTAAGAGAATAGTGGACTTATAGCCACTTGGCAAATATTTTATTACTTTATCATGTACTACATGCTAGTTATTATGTACTAGTGCTTATGGATTTTATGCTAAGAATAAATGCTTGATGGAGTATCCTTGAATATTTGTCTTATTTCTATAGAAAGTCAGTTTAGTTCTACTATGTCAATATCACAATGACTAATATTCACAGAAATACTGCTTGTTCAAGAAAGTAGTCAGAATTTTGGAATCAATGGATAGAGGGTTCAGAGATTTTAAAATTTGGGATGTCTAAAAATTCATTCATTCTATAGGCAAAAGTCAACTCCACCCCATGGAGAGAGGCAGAGCTGTCAGATAGAAGATTGTTGGTTTTCTGAGAACATAGAGAATGAGGCAGATGAGTCATGCACAGACTACCAGGGGGATGATGGAACATCCCAATGAGTGGCTAACAATGGCACCTGATGATTATGTGGCAAATGGAGGTCAGACTTACATTACCTCCCTCCTAGGTTGGTGTGGGGAAAAGTACTTTGTAACACTTAAAGTACAAAAGAAATGTGAAAAGTTACCGCAACTACCACTACTGTTATTGTAGAAAAGCCTCTCACTAATGTAGAATAACTCACAGTTGACCAAGAATAGAAATTCTGCTAAGAAAATGAGTATGTTAAGTTAGAAATAGGGACAGTTAGGCTCTGTGCTGGCCAGACTATCACACAAAAGCTATGTGGTATTTTTTTTTCTGTGGGAATGTGGGCATTGTAGTTTGTGTGGTATGTAGATTGGAGAAGGGAGGGAAAGTAGCAGTAGCAGAAAGGTCAAGTAGAAGGTGAGGAAGGCTTGAGCTAGTGATGTGGCGTGGTGAGTGAAAAAAGTCCCTCCTGCTCATCTCCCACCAGCAGAGTTAGAGTTGACAGCTGGCTGGATATGGGTGAGAGTGAGAGAGGGAAGAGTCAGTAAAGATACGGAAGTCACAAACCTGAATGACTGGAAGGATGATGGTGCCTTGGGAGCCTCACAAGACCTCTCCAAAATCCCATGTGGGGACCTTGGACCCAAGCCTGGGGACCCCATGAGAAGATGTGCACAGTGGGAAGGGGTGAGGACATGGTGCCAAAAGCTCTGGGCAGGGTCCTCTTGAGCAGTAGTTAGAGTGGATCTCCTGGGCCCTGAAAACATGAAAATTGAAGGTCTGTTACCTCTCCCCTCAAACCCAAAACTCTTTTTTGGACCTGAGGTGGACCCTAAAGACATGGTGAATCTGAAGACCACTACTGTACCATTTCCCAAGCTATGGTTAAAGATAACCCCTAAACCTAAACAACCACAAAAACCCCCGAACATATTCATTTCTTCTTTCGCAATCGCAGACATTGTCATGGTCAGAGTCTAATCCTTTATGAACAAGCCCCGACTCATGTCCTAACGCAACGAAAGATTATATCTGCTCCATCCCTTTTGGGCAGTATCAGGGTATTGCCCACAGGGACAGACTGACTAGGACAGATAGAGGGGGCTGTGCCCAGTGAGCCCGTTCTCCATTGCCTACTCAGTTCTGCTCTGACTTCCCTGTTACTGACTTGTTTTTGGGAAGTGTCTAGTGTTAGGGACTACCATGGTAGAAAATTTTGCAATCTAAATGTAAACCACTCCAGTATCTTTGCTAAGAAAACCCCAGATGGGGTCACAAAGAGCTGGACATGACAGAAAAGACTGAACAACAACAATTAAAATCTTGGTAGAAGCTAGGAACACCAACAGCCAGAGGTGACAAGGGGGAGGATTTGAGGCATGGGGGACAGCTAGTGCAAAGGCATGGAGATAGAAAATAGGGTGTCATGTGGGGAACAGCAAGTATGCCAATGTAAATGGATTTTAGAGAGTGTAAAGGGAAGTAAAGTGTAAAAAGACTGGAAAGGTATGAAAAGGCCAGTTTATAAAGAACTCTCAATGCCAAACAGAGAGTGGAGCTTTAGGGGAAAGATAGTGAATTCTGCTTTGGACATGATGAGTTTGAGATTCCTATGAGAGATATCTAGTTTGTGGTGTCCAAAAGATCGTTGGTGGTGTGGGACTTCAGAGAGAGACAGAGAGAGAGACAGAGAGAGACAGAGAGAGAGAGAGAGGAGGAGGAGGAGGGAGTCGATAGTGAGGAACAATCTGCAGGAGAAGATGAAAGGTTATGGGATCAAGGATGAATATAAAGGGGGTTGACCTTGGTAAAGAAAAGAACCTCCTATTTATCCACAACTGGAATGGAGAAGACAGTCAAGGAAAATGAGTGATATGTGGTGAGGAAGAAGGCAGAGGTGGGAGGTTTAGGCTAATGTCCTCAGTTTGTTTGCTGTACTATATGCTTACACCTTGAGCTGAGAGGTAAGGGGATGGGGTGCAGTGTTTCAGGAGAAATGGAAAGGGTTGTAACAGCCAATGTGGAGAGAGAGACAGTGATTTTCCAATTCATAAATTACCAAGATGGCAGAAGATGGGAATGATAATTGTTGGAGGGTGTTTTGAAAAGAAAGACACATTTATACATTATTGGTGGAACTTCTAATTGAGCTATCTTAATTACAGAGCTGACATTCTAGAAGGCACATGGGAAGCTTTAGAAAGATTTAGAGTGGGGATAAGGTATAATATATGCCATATGCCATGGTGCATTCCAGTTGTATGATAAGAAAGCATAATAAAAAAACTTTAAATGGAAGAAAATGAAAAAAGGAAGAAAATGAAATTTTTGGGGAAAGATGAATTTTTTTTTCATTTTAACAAAATAATTATTAGCGTCAAGATAGATGTACTTGCAAAGGTGAAAATAAATAAATGTTTGTGTCACAAAACATAACATATGTACACAATATGAAACAAATAATATTCACTTAAATATTTTAAATAAAAAAAACCCATAGACCAGAGAAATGTTTTTTTATCTTTAATTAATTAATTAATTAATTTTTTGTTTTCAACATTCACTTCCACAAGATTTTGAGTTCCAAATTTTCTCCTCATCCCCCTCACTCCAACTTTCTTTTTATTTATTTATTTATTTGTTTATTTTTATTAATTTATTTTGATTTATCAATAATCACTTCCATATGCTTTTGATTTAAAATTTTTCTCCCCCTTCCTCCCCACCACCCTCCCCAAGATGGCACACAATCTGATATAGGCTATACATTTACATTCATATTGAACATATTTTCACATTAGTGATGTTGTAAGTAGAAATTAAAACCAATAGGAGGAACCATCAGAAAGAGGAAACAAAACTCAACAGAAGAGAAAAAAAAATAACAATTCGGCTTCCATAGTTCTTTGGGTCGGAGAAATGTTTAATGGCAGATATGAAAGATAAAAACTTGACACAGAGAATTAACACACACACATATGTATGTGTGTGTGTGCCATTCTCCAATAGAAAAGTGGCTAAAGAATATGAATAATTATTAAAAGAACTACAAACAACAAATATTTTAAAATATTAACAAACATAGGAAAAATTGCTCCAAATCACTAATAACAAAAGAAATTAAAATTAAAACAAATGTGAAGTTTCCATTCACGCTCACCAAATTGGCAAAGATGACAAAAGATAACAATAATTGATTGGAGAGGGCATACATTGTTGGTGGAGCTTCATATTGGGCCAACCATTCTGGAAAACAATTTGGAATTATCTTAAGAAAGTGACTAAAATGTACACACTCTTTGAATCAGAAATCCCACTGCTAGGCATATATTCCAAGGGAGTCAAGACCAAAATATTTATTAAAAGCATTTTTTATAGAAGTGAAGAACTGAAAATGAAATAATGTCCAAATAAGTTGTTGTACATAAATGTAATGATATTTCTGCAATGTGGAAAGCAAAGGATGTGAACTATACAGAGAAGCATGGAAAGGCTTACAGAATTAATCCTATATACATAATGACTGCACCACTATAAATGGAGAGAACAATAACAGCAGATCGAAAGTGAATGCTGTGTAATTTCGATGCTCAAACTTGACCTTGAAGAAATGATATGAGAAAGTACCTCCCTCCATTCTTTGCAGAGGTGGGGGCACTGTAGGTATGGAGTGCTACAAATACTGTCAGCTTTGGTTTATGCATTGGCTAGCTCTGCTGAACTAGGTTTTCCCCCTCTTTTTTCTTCTTTGTTGTAAAGGATGGATATCTGGGTGGGTGGGAGGAGAGAGATCATATTGGGAAATAAAACTGACATAATACTGAAAGATGAGGAGCGTTGGCCATTCTGAGAAACCCATAGATATCTATGAAAAATGGTTGTGTGGGTTCTGCAATTGGATAGTTCTCTTTTTTGCTGATGGGAAACGTAGTGAAAGCTTCAGAAATCAGGGCTTAGTGGTCCCTTCCCTTCTGCCCTGGAGTGTGGATCCATGCTGGGAGGCCAAGCCCAGAATGATGCCTGCCACATTCTTCTTCAGGCACAGCTCTTGGATCAGAGGCTCCTAGAGGAGAATTTGGGGTCAGCTGTCCTTTCCAAAGAGGAGAAACACCTGGGAGCTGCAGGATACTTTTCAGGGGAGGGTGTGGGGTGGAGAACACTTTATCTCTTGGGTTTCCAAGCCTAGGTCAGCACCCAGATTGAAGGCAGGAGGAGGCTGAAGCTAAGGATCTGGAGCTGAGGAATATGAGACAGAGTGGGCAGCCTCTGAAACTGTAGGAAGAAATAGAGAACAGAGATAGAACAGATTCTCCATGAACTCCCCCTGACCTCCCCTCCCCCTGCCCCACCCATTATGCATCTCTGCCCCAATCTGGCCTTTCCATCTCCCATCCTTCCGTTAAAATGTCTCTGTTGACAGCCAGCAGCCATTGTGAGGATCCCAGGAAACTGTTGGGAAATCTAGGAGCCCTTGTATGGCTTAATGAGGTCCCGCAAGCCACTGTTTTGAGACTGAAATGCCTGACCCACAATGGTGAGGCATAGTTTGCTGCATCTTTGGACTGGTGGTGACTAAGTTATGGGGCCTTCCTCCCTCAGTTCCCAGTTGATCAATTGCAGGCTAAAACCCCCATCTTACCTTTTTTTTTTTGCTTTCTGAGAACATAGAGCCAGGGTACGCTGAACAACAATAGCACTTTCAGTCCCAGAAGGAAGATTACAAAAAGCTGGCCAGAAAGTCCTTGCCCTGAAGGTTAAAGTGACAAAAGGAACAATCATATAGAGGTGGGTGGTGGGGAGGGCATGTGAGCAGCTGATGGCAGATAATCTATCTACTTTCCTACCTTGAGACCACTTGTGTCTAATCCAGTCCCTAGATTCTCAGCTAATCTTGGAGACTTCTAGTCTCCTAGAGTTATCCTTAGGTCAATTATCAATAATTAATCAATCAATAAACATTTATTAAGTGCTTGCTATGGTCCGTGCACTGTGCTAAGTGCTAAAGTCTAGGGCTTGGGCAAATATTACGGGGAATGACTACCCTCATCCCATTACTTATGTGACCCTACTGGCTTATATACCCTGTTCTTAGAAAGAGATGAGGGTGACAGTTTATAATGTTGTTCAAATCCAGAGATCAAAAGAAGATCCCAGCTTTGTCACTTAACTACCAGGACTACTTTGGGAAGTTCACTCATGCTCCCTTGGTCTCACTTTCTTCATCTGTGTAGCATCTGGGAGCACCTTCCAGATCACATAGATCCTCTCATGACAAGCTACCTGATGAGCCTTAATATATTTACTTTTACTAGGCAGAGGCCACAATTAATCAAATTTAATGAAATAGTATAATGTAAGGTCACATAAGTAATGGGGTGAGGACAGTCATTCCCTGTAATATTTGCCCAACCCCTGGACCTTAGCATTTATCCCCTCTAACATTTACCCTTTTTCCAATCTGATAGGTGTGAGATGGTACCTCTGAGTTGCTTCAATTTGCATTTCTCTAATCAATAATGACTTGGAGTTTTTTTTATGTGATTATTGATAGCTTTGACTTCTTCTGAAAATTGCCTGTTTATATATTTTGACCATTTATCAAGTGAGGAATGGCTTGTATTTTTTATAAATTGGGCTCAGTTCCCTATATATTTGAGAAATGAGCCCTTTACCAGAGAAATTTGCTGAAATTCCCCACTGTTCCAGTTTCCTGCTTTCTTTCTAATTTTGGCTGTATTGGTTTTGTTTGTGCAAAAACCATTAAATTACATAACCAAAATTATCCTGTTTACCTACTATGATCCTTTCTATCTCTTGTTTGGTCATAAATTCTTCTCTTGTCCTTGGACTTGACAGGTAGTTTTTTCCTTGCTCCCCTAGTTTGCTTATAATATCATCCTTTATGTCTAAATCACGTACGAATTTTGACCTCATCTTGGTATATGGTATGAATACTCATCTATGGTTAATTTTTGCCAGACTGCTTTCTAGTTTTTTTTTTTCCTAGTAGTTTTTGTCTAATGGTGACTTCTTGCCCCAGAAGCTTGGATCTTTGGGTTTATCAAACAGCAGATTACTATGGTCATTTATTTCTGTGTGTTGTATACCTAATCTATTTCACTGATCAACCACCCTATTTCTTAGCCAATACCAGATTGTTTGAGGATTATAGCCTTATAATACAGTTTAAGATCTGGTTCAGCTAGGTCACCTTTCTTCCCATTTTTTTTCATTAATTCCCTTGATATTTTTTACCTTTTGTTCTTCCAGATGAATTTTGTTATTATTTTTTCTAGCTCTATAAAATAATTCCTTAGTTGTTTGATTGGTATGGCACTGAATAAGTAAATTAATTTAGGTAGAGTTGTCATTTTTATTATATTGGCTCAGCCTACTCATGAGCAAAATATTTCTTCAATTGTTCAGGTACTTTCATTTGTGTGCAAAGTATTTCGTAATTGTGTTCGTTTTGAGTATGGTTCTTAAAACCTATGCAAAGAGAGGATGACACTCTTATGAGTTGTTATGAGGCTAAAAGGTTACGCCCTTTCAAAGACATAACATAATAATAGCTAACATTTATATAGTGTATTTATATAGCCCATGTCTCAGTCACTGTGCTAAACACTTTAGGAATATTCTCATTTGATCCTCACAAAAATCCAGGGAGGTAGATGCTAATATTATCTTCATTTGAGAAAACTGAGGTAAACTAAGGTTAAATGACTTGCCCAGGGGTAACACAGCTAGTATATGTCTGAGGCTGGATTTGATCTCAAGTTATAATAACTCCAGACCCAGCACTCCATCCACTGCACCACCTAGCTACTTTGAATTACCATACAATAATATGTGACAGGCTAGTTCAATTCTCTGTAATGAATTAAGTATTAAAGCTGCAATAAAGACCATTATAATGGACCTTTGACAATGACATCAGTGAATTCTGTTTCCTACCCCAAAAAGGAAGGGAAGAAAGAGGCATTTTTAAGTGCCTACTATATGCCAGGCACTGGACTATATACTTTACAGTATTATCTTATTTGATCTGTATAACAATCCTTTGAGTTACAGGTCCAGTACTCTCTAGCTAATATCTTGCAATAGTGGAATGAACCCTGGATGAGGGATCAAAGACCCAGATTTTAGTCCAGGTTCTGTTACTTATTAGCTGTGTAACCTTCGGCAAGTCACTTCTTAGCTGCTGCCCTGCCACAGGGCAGAACCGCATGAAGCAATGGGTTTGAAAGAGTTTTGTAAGTTAAAAACTCTTGTACCCATGTGAGGGATGATACCAACAACAATTTCATCACCATCCCTGGTCAGGTTATCCATATTGGGTCTAAATGGACCCACAGGGTTGAACCTATTCTGATTCTTTCCAAATTGAGCTGCAGGGAGCTAGAGTCTCCTTATGAAAGCAAAGATGAACTCACCTGATTCTTTTTTATCCATAGTCCCAGAAAGAGATGAGGCTATAAATGTTTTACTGGCACTGATTGGAGGCTGGGAATCATGCAGTACCTGACAAGTGATCTCCTGGCCTTCCTTTTGACCACACACATTTACCAGGAATGAGGTGTTGAGGCTATAGGTGCCATCTTTGTTCTCTGTGGGTTTAGATGTCTTCCCTATCACAATCGTGAAGCCATTCTCTAGCCAGATGACACTCACAGTTTTGGGGTAGAATTCCATTATATGACAGGTGATGTTGTTGTAGTTCATGGCAAATAGTTGAGAAGAAACATTCACTTTAGGTAGAACTAGAAGAAAAGGCAAAGCCCTTAGGTTAACCAAGTGAGGACCTGTCTGGCTCCAGACCTTTGGACCATCACAGAGCCACAGGGACAGGAGCAGGAACAAATGAGGACCAGGTCTCTACCCTGATAGTAGGTGTCCTTGGGCCTAACTGGGGAGTCCCTAACATCAGGGGCAATAGATTTTCGCATTAGATTGTAAGTTCCTTGAGGGCAAGGACTGTTTTTTTCTTTCTGTATTCCTAACACCTAAGCAGAGTGTCCTGCACATCATTTGTTTCAAATGTTTGTTGACTTGAATTGACTGAAAACCACTAAGGATGGAGTCTATTCCTCTCCCTCAATTGCCCATTTCCTTCCCAAAGCTCAAACTTTATTCAGTTGGGCTGCTTTCATTGAGTGTATGGATAGTAACATGTTTCTTACACTGCGATTCAAGGACTGGATTTTCAGGGACATGGGAGACTAAGTTTCCTGTTCCAGCTCCTGTGATCCACTTTCCCTAACATCAGCATAGGATATATAAATTTGTAGCTAAGGGGAACTCCTTCTTCAGGGATGAAGAGAGAAGGAAAAAACCCCCTTCTCTAGGATTATACCAGGCTGTTTAGGACTTAAGGAAAACAGACACAGCTCATGCTCATAGGAGGCTGATCTAGTTATGATGTGATATCAAAGCCAAAGGCACAGGGAGTACATGCACCAGTCTGTGCTTCTCTCTTCTTGTCTTCAGGATATTCCATAGCACATGTGAGGTCCAACCTGGAGTTGGTCTTCTCTGTCAAGGCTGCAGACTGACCTGAATGGTTCTTAAACCTAGGGGGTTACACTATGTTTTACATTCATGAAGGGAAGGCTTTGTGTATGCATCAGCTGAGGGCAAGCAAATCCCAGGGACACTTGAAGACACCAATCATGGGAAAACTAGATAAGGAAGTAGGTGCTCAGCACTTAGACTAATAGCTATCAATCACTACGACTATTTCTATCTACAGAAACTTGGCTCTTTGGGAGAAGTGGCCAAGTATGACTAGGTAGTCCTTAGAGGCATTTGTAACTTGAGATGAGAGTCTAGTTTCTCACAGATGTTAGCTCTTGCCACACCCTTCCTCTAGTCAATCAATCAACCTACAAGCTTTTATTAAGCACCTATTATATTAGGCCCTGCACTAGATGCTTTGGCTATAAATACAAAAGTGAGACAGTCCCTTGCCTTCTAGAAGTTTACCTTCTATAAGGGGAATACAACAAATTCACAGAGAAGTAAATACGGCATACCTACAAAATAAATACAATGATGGAGGGCAGCACAAAGGTTAAAGATGGAATGTATGGAAAACAGCAAATAGCCGGGTATGGCTGGAGCAAAAAATGCAAGAGGAAAGTTAATATGCAACCCACTGGGGAAGTTAGGCTGGAACTCAATTAGGAAGAACTTAAAATGCTAATTAGAGGAGTTTCTATTTCAACATAAAGGCAATCAGGAGCCTCTGAAGCTTCTTGTGCAATGGGAGTAAAATGGCTAGACCTGTGCTATAGAAATATCATTTTCATGGCTTTTTGGAGGATAGATTGGAAAAGGGAATAGAGTAGAGAGAGGGAAGCCAATTATAGGAGGCTACTGCCAAAGACTAGGTAAGAGGTGATGAGTTGGATTATGGTAGTTATGGTATGAGTAGAGAGAATAGCCTATCAATAAACACTTATTAAGTGCCTATTGTGTGCTAGGCATTGTGCTAAGCACTGGAAAAGAGAAGGGGATGAAGGTAAGAGATTTGGAGGTGGAACTGGCAAGCCTTGGCATAATGGAGGACGTATAGTCCTGCATACAGTAATCAAGAGAGAGCAAGAGCCACGGGTGACTCCCAGGTTGCTAATCTGGTGCTTAGAAGAATGGAAAAGAGAACTTAGGAGGAGGTGTAGCACCAGGAAGAAGGTAATGAGTTCTGTTTTAGACATGTTGAATTTGAGATGCCTGTGGGCCACCAAGGAAGAGATGTTAAGTAGGCAACTGGAGATTCAGGACTAGAGAGAGATGAAGGTTGGCCATGTAGGTTTTTGAAGCGTTTACATAGAGATGATAGTTAAATTCACAGAAATGTGATGAGGTCTAGAGGTTTAGGGGTGCTGGAACCCCAAGACCACAATGCGGGCCCTGCCTGAATGAATTCAACCCAAATCTTCTTCCAGCCAGAGAAAAAGTTTATTAGAGATAAATCATAAAGGCTAGACTCTTAAGGAATCTGAACATTAGTAACGCCCATGGGGATGAGGGGGCATGAGAAAGTCTCAGCCTTTTGGGCATGAGAAAGTCTCAGTGTTTGAATGGGGGCCAGGGTGGATCTTATATACACTAAAGTAACTTTGGGTGGCCAGAGGAGGGGGGAGGAGCTGGGAAAAGGGTCTAGGTGAGAATTCCGATTGGAAGGTCTGAGAGACTGAATAGACAATGGGAATAGATAATGAAGGGAACTGGAAGGAAGAAGTTTGAAAGGATCAGAAGGTGGGGCTAGGGCTTTCAAAGGGAGATAAGGGGAGTCAATAAGGAATCTAAAAGTTTAAGGGTTTTCTGGGGCCTGTAGACAAATGGGAACCAAATTCTTTTTGGGGCAAGGGGCAAAGGTCTTGGGTTGGGCCCATACTCATCAAGTGGAGAAGGACACTAACAGAGAATGTAGTGATAGAAGAGGATAGTGCTAGGGTGCATCCATGCGTGGATGGCTAGACATGAATGAACCTGCAAAGGAGAATAGGAAGTTCAGTCTGACAGGTAGGAAAAGAGCCACAAAAACTCAGGAAGAAGAGTATCTAGAAGGGTGTGGTTGATAGTTCAAATACGGCAAAGAGGTCAAAAAAAGGTTGAGGACTGAGAGAAGTCTATCAGATCTAGCTATAAAGAGATCACTGGAGAGAGCAGTTTTAGAGAGGTGGTAAGGTTGAAACAGGGGAAGAGTGGTATAAGTGACTAAGGAAAACTAATAATTAGAATTATACTACTGAAAGTAGAGAAGTGAGAGGTAAGAAAGAAATTGGAAGCAAGGAGACTATATTTTTCCCTGGGTTTGGCTATGAAAGAGTACAGAGACTATGAAAGGAAGAAGAGATATGGGATGATAGCTTGAGGGGATGGTAAGGTCAAATGAAGTTTTTTTGGTTTGTTGGAATGGAAGAGATTGGAGCGTGTTTGAAGACAGGAGGGAAGGAGTCAGCAGGGAAGAAGAAGCTGAAAATTCAGGAGGGAGAGGGAGTGTGATCAAAGGAACAAGCTCCTGAGAAGGCAGTAGGGGATGGGATCAAAGGCACAAGAAGGAAGTTTGCTGCTGGGCAGGGAGCATAGCCAGCTTGTCCTGCCAGAGTGGTACAGAGGAGAGTCTGGAGGTGATGCTAAGGTGATCTGACATATGGAAATGGCATGAGGAATGGCTTAAATTTTTTTCAGTGAAGCATGAAATAAGGTCTTCTGCTGAATGGGAACAGGGAGATCATATCATAGTACAGGTGGACTGAAGGAGAAGATGGAATACAATAGAGCTGATCAACAAACAGGAAAAGAATTTGTAAGCAGTAGAGAGTGCCAAGTGGAGACTGGGAAATACTCAATGTCCCGGACAGCACAGCTGAGTAACGTCTTCCAGTGGTGCTCGTAGGATAGGGGCACTGGTAGAGAAGGTAGAGAGGATGCGAAAAATGCAGGGATGGAGTTTGGAAAAGGCTGAGCAATGACAGGACAGTGGGTCAGGGGCTTCGAGGGTTAACCACGGTGTAAGGTTAACTAAAGGTGTTTTGGAGAGGGAAAAATCAAGACCAGAGCAGGGGTGATGGCCTGGGAAAGCAGGTAGGAATCAGTGTAAACTAGGGACACAGAGCAACCTGAACGCTTCATACAACAGTAAGAGCTAGTATTTATATATTATTTTAAAATTTGCAGATCACTTATTACAAATATTATCTCATTTGGTTCTCACACCAACCCTGGGAAGTAGGTACCATTATTATCCCTAACTGCAGAGGAGGATACTGAGGCAGAGGTTAAGTGACTTGTCCAGGGTTACTCAGCTTGCAGTGTCTGAAGCCACTCAAATCCTCCTGACTTTAAGTCTAGCACATTATCCACTGCATCACCCAGATGTCTCTGGGCAGCATGTGGTATAAATATTTTTATGCCGCTTTCCTAACTCAATTTTTTTTCACCTTTGAAGGGACCTCTGCATAACATGAAACATGAAAACACTCAAGCAAAGGTAGGAACCCTCTCCACATTTATCACCCCTTGTCTCCTTTGTCTCAATCTTTGGGCAGATCCTTACAGGGATCTTAGGGTCAATTACCTTTGTTAAGATAGAGTTTACCCTCTGTATCTATAAGATCTTTGATATTAATCTTCGCAAGGAAGATAATGAGTATAACCGCTTACCCAGTGCCTTGATTGATATGTTTATTTCCATTGGAAACCCTGTGTATCCAATGGAGTCTGAGGTCGCCCAATCGTATGCCAATGCTAAAACTCACCCCTTTCCTCACCCCTTGAGGCTTATGGTTCAAATCTTCTCTTAATACTATAACCTTTTGTGTGGGCATGAGACATGTAGTAGAAAGAGCACTAGGACTGGAGACGGGATGACTTGAATTCAAATCTGGCCCCAGGTGCTCACTAACTGTGTGACTTTGGGCAAGTCTCTTTGTCTTATTTTTTCCACCTATAAAGTAGGAATAATTACAATACCTACCTCACAGGCTTATTATGAGGATTAAATGAGATAATATTTGTAAAATGTTTAGTACTGTTCTTGGCACATAGTAGGAGCTTTATAAATGCCTTCCCTTGTTTCCCCTTATTCATGCCAGCCACTCATGATGCCAAGTAGATGAAACTCTTCCATGCCTAGAATTCCTACCCTGTAGTCATTTCCTTGCCAGCCACAATCAAACTAACAGGCATATCCTCTATCCCAATCCCCTCCTCTTTTCAGTTCAATCAATAAATCCATAAACATTTATTAATTACCTACTATGTGCCAGGCACTGTGCTAAATGCTGGGGATACAAAAAGAGGCAAAAAATAGTCCTTGCCCTCAAGGAACTTACCATCTAATGAAAGCAACAACAAGCAAACAAATATGTAGAAAGCAAGCTATATACAAAATAAATAGGAAATAATTAGCAATGTAGGCACTAGAATTGACAGGGAAGGCTTCCCGTAGGAGGTGAGATCTTAGCTGGGACTTAAAGGAAGCCAAGGAGATCAGTAATCAGTGCAGAGGAGGGAGAGCATTTCAGGCATGAAGGAAGCCAGTGCTGGCACCTTAAGCAATTGAACTTGGTGCCCTAAGGTTTCACTTTAATGTTTGAAAAGCAACTATCCCTCCCATTCTAGCTATGCCTCCCCTATAAGTGTTGTCTCCCCTACTGGAATGTAACCCTCTTTGGGGGCAGACACTGTCTTTGCTTTTATGTGGGCCACCCCTTCCTCCTCAGTTGGGCATATGAAATTGGAATATAGTAAGCACACAATAAATGAGTTTTCCTTCATTATTCTAATTTACCAATAACAATGGCTCACATTTTCCTAAAGCTTTATATGTGTGTGTGTGTGTATGTGTGTGTGTGTGTGTATGTGTATGTGTGTGTGTGTGTGTATATACAGGTATATCTTTATCTATATATCATCTTTTTCTCCATCACTTTGGGAGATTGTTGTTGTTCAGTCATTTCAGTTGTGTCTGACTCTCTGTGACCCCACTTTGGGGTTTTCTTGGCAAAGATACCGGAGTGGTTTGCCATTTCCTTCTCTAGCTCATTTTATGAGTGAGTAAACTGAGGTAAACAGGGTTAAGTGAGTTGCCCAGGGTCACTCAGCAAGTAAGTATCTAAAGACAGATTTGAATTCATGAAGATGAGTCTTCCTGAATCTAAGGCCAGTGCTCCATCCCCTGTGCCACCTAGCTGCCCCCTTTTGGGGATAGGTAAGATGAATATTATTATGCCCTATAATGTGAAAAGTCTCAGAAAGGCTAAATGTCTTGCCCAGCATCAAATAGTTGGCCAATGGCAAGCCTTGACCCAAGTCTCCTGACTCCTCCTTCACTATTCCATACTTCTTTTCTTCCTTGTCCTCCTCCATCCTGGCATTCTCAGGACAGAAGCCTTGGTGACATATGTCTCACTCCGGTGATGCCAAGAACCCCAGTATCAGCTGCTGAATTGGGAAGCAAGTTCAGAGTATCATGGTAGGATTACTAGTTTTGGAATCAGAAGACCTGGGTTCAAGGTCTGCCACCCAAACTTACAAGGTGGTGACCTCAGGAAGTCAATCTCAATGTTTAAACTTTGAGTTTCCTCCTGTGTAAAATAGGGATTGTTAATATACTTGCATTTACACAATCAGAGGAAAGCTCTGTGAGCTCTCAGTGGATTAGGAGCTGTCATTATCTCTATTGTTTAAAGGATGATCTCAAGAGGCAGGCTCAGGGATGCTGTGAGTAAGGGTTAAGGCTGTATGGGAAGCCAGTTCCCAGGGCTGAACCTCAGAAAATTATATTTGGGCTTAGTAGTTAATAGACAAAGGTCAACCTTCTTGGGTAATTCTGTCAAGCCAGTGAGTCAAAGAGCATTTATTAAAGGCCTGCTCTGTACCAGACACAGTGTTAAGAACTAGGGATACAAAGAAAGGCAGAAGACAGTCCCTGCTCTCAAGGAGCTCGTGATCTAATGGGGGTCAGGCCTATGCCCCAGAACCAATTAGGGAACATAGGTTAGGAAGTAGGGAATGTGCCCAGCACAAGGATTCACCCACCTCGTATAATGTCTGACAAATTCTTTGTCCCTCGAAGAGGAGATTGTAACGTGCTGTGATTCACCTCACAGATAACTTTGGAGTGGACATCGCTAGCTTCTAGTTTCAGCTTCACAGTGCTGGTGATGTTGTAGGAGACACTATTGTCCTGGGGGAAAACTTTGGTCCACTGGGCAGAGATCTCCTTCCCATTTTTAAACCATTTCAAGGTGATGGTTTTGGGAAAGAAGCCCATCGAGTTACAAATGAAATTCTCCATGTGCTCACTGTTTACTCTCTCCTTGGGGCCAGACACCACAGGTACAGAAGGTTTGACTGGACATAGAAACAATTAATAAACACAATGAAATAAAAGTTCTAAATAAACAATTAGTAAAAATACCAAGCAAATATAAAAGAATCATTACCAATGCCCAGTCTTAGTTGCTTCTTCAAATTACTGCTACCTGGCTTCATATTAATACTCTATCCCTTTCAGAAAAAAAGGTTTTTAAAAACTATAAATATGGGGCATCTAGGTGGGACAGTAAAATAGAGCACCGGCTCCGGAGTCAGGCGCCTCTGAGTTCAAATCTGGCCTCAGCCATTTACTAGCTGTGTGACCCTGGGCAAGTCACTTAACCCTGTTTGCCTCCAAACCACCCCAAAAAAACAAACAAACAAACCAAACCTATAAATATAATAGAAAATGGCAAGAATACGAGTCTATCAATGCCATAAACTTCACTTATATAAAGTACTTTTTTGTTGAGAGTGTCAGGGGAAGGAAAATATCCTTATGTTTCCTCAATACTAAGAAGGAGCTTCTAAAACCTGTGGAAAGAACACACCTTTGGAGTCAGAAGATGTGGGTTCAAATTTGCTGTCGGGTTTTTACTACTCATATAGCTTTATACAAGTCACTCAACACCCTCCCCCACTCCTCGCCTCAGTTTCCTCATCTATAAAATGAAGGGCGTGGACTAAAAAGCTTCTAAGACCTCCTCCAGATTTAGGCCCACAATTCTGTGATCTCATGTCTCTCCTCTCACTAAACTTCTTGAAAAACTGTCTATACTCATAGATACCACTACTCTATACTTCCTATACCCCTGAGAGATCAAAGAAAAAGGGAAAAGGACCCCAAATATTCATTACAGTTCTTTTTGTGGTATCAAAGAACAGGAGAATAAGGGAGTATATATCAATTGGGAAAGACTGAACAAATTGTAGTATATGATAGAATATTATTGTGCTGTAAGAAATGACGAAGCTGGTTTCAGAAAAACCTGGGAAGACTTATATGAATTCATGCAAAATAAAGCGAGCAGAACCAGGAGAATATTGTACACAGTAATGGCAATATTTTAATGATAACCAACTGTGAAAGACTTAGCTACTCTGATCAAGACAATGATCCAAGGCAATTCCAAAGGACCTATGATGAAAAATGCTATCCACCTCCAGAGAGAGAATTGAGTACAGATTGAAACATACTTTTTCACTTTCTTTGTTTTTCTTATTTTTTTCTTGTGTGTTTTTTTCTTTTGCAACATGGATAATATGGAAATATGTTTTTCATAACATCACATGTATAATTGATATATTGTTTGCCTTCTCAAGGGGTGTCAGAGGGAAAATAAGGAGGGAGAGAATTTGGAAATCAAAATTTTAAAAAGTGAATGTTAAAATTTTTTTTTACACATAATTAAGAATATTTAATGAAATAAATAAAATATTTTAAAAAGAAATGATGAAGGGGATGGGAAAAGGGAAAGGAATAAGTATTTATATAGCACTTAAGTGCCAGGAACTATGCTAAACACTTTTTACAAATGTTGTCTCATTTGATGTTTCACAACGACCCTTCGAGTTAAGTGCTAATATCCTCATTTTGTTGATGAGGAAACTGAGACAAACAGAGGTTAAGTGACTTGCCCAGGATCACAAAGCTAGTAAGTATATGAAGCTGGATGATTTTAGAGAAACCTGGGAAGATATATTTGGAATGATTCAGAGTGAAGGGAGCAGAACTAGGAGAATCATTTTCAAAATAACAACATTAAAAAGACAAATAATTCTGAAACTTTTAAGAACTCTGAACACTTCAGTGACCATCCACAATTCTAGAGGACCAATGAGGATATGTGTCATTCTGTTTTCAAGTGTGTTATTGTAAATAATATATTGTTGGATTCTGGTTTCTAATCCACTTTGCTATCCTCTTTAATTTTATGGGTGAGTTCATCCCATTCACATTCATAGTCATGATTGCTGATTGTATTTCCTTTTACCCTATTTTCTTCTGTTTATCCTTCTCTCTCTTTTTTTATTGCTGTCCTCAAAAATATGTTTTGCTTCTGTCCACTGCCTCCTTTAGTCCATTCTTCCTTTTATCACTCCTGTCTTTTCTTATGCCTTTTCCCTCCTACTTCCTGGTTGAGTAAGGTATCTATATCTATATCTATATCTATCTATCTATCTATCTACCTGCTTACCCAATTAAGTATGTATAGAAATTCTTCCCTCTTTGAACCAATTCTGACAAGAATGAGGTTCAAGCATTGTCCACCACCTCCTAATTTTTTGTCCAAAGTCACAAGATGGTTTGATACTTTGATTGCCCATTACTGAATGATAAAGTCTTAGGAGTTATATGTATCTTCTTCCCATATAGGAATGTAAACAGTTAGGGGACTTAGTGAGTCCCTTATGATTTCTTTTTCATGTTTACCTTTTTATGCTTCTCTGGAGTCTTGTGTTTGAATGTTAAATTTTCTATTTACCTGTGGTCTTTTCATCAGGAATGCTTGAAAGTCCTTTATTTCATTAAATATTCATTTTCCCCCCAAAGGATTATACTCAGTTTTGCTGGATAGGTTATTCTTGATTGTAATCCTAGTTCCTAGTTCCTAGTTCCTCTGCCTTCCAGAATATCATATTCTAAGCCCTCTACATTTTTAACATGGAAGCTGCTAAATCTTGAGTGATCTTGACTGTAGCTCCATGGTATTTGAATTGTTTCTTTCTGATTGCTTGCAATATTTTCTCCTTGACCTGGGAAATTTGGAGTTTGACCATAGTATTCCTGGGAGATTTCCTTTTGGGATCTCTTTCAGGAGGTGAATGGTGGATTCTTTTAGTTTCTATTTTACCCTCTGGATTTAAGATATTGAGGCAGTTTTCCTTGATAATTTCTTGAAATATGCCTAGGCTTTCAGGTAGACAATAATTCTTAAATTATCTCTTGATCTCTTTTCAGGATCTTTTCAATCTATTTTCCAATGAGATATTTCACATTTTCTTCTAATTTTTTTATTATTTTGACTTTGTTTTATTGTTTCTAAATATCTTAAGGAGTCATTAGTTTCCACTTGCTGATTCTAATTTTTAAGAAGTTATTTTCTTTCTTTTTTTTTCTTTTTACTAGGCAATTGGGGTTAAGTGACTTGCCCAGGGTCACACAGCTAGTAAGTGTCATCTGTTGTGTGTCTGAGACCATATTTGAACTCAGGTCCTTCTGACTCCAAGGCCAGAGCTCTATCCACTGCACCATCTAGTTGCCTCAGGAATTATTTTCTTTAGTGAGATTTTGCACCTCTTTTTCAATTTACCAGTTCTTCTTTTTAAGGAGTTCTTTTCTTCGATGAATTTTTGTGCCTTGTTTACCATTAGGCCAATTCTGTTTTTTAAAATGTTCTTTTCTTCAGTATTTTTGTGCTTCTTTTATGAAGCTATTTATTCTTTTTTCATAATTTTCTTTCATTGCTCTCATTTCTCCCCCAATTTTCCCTCTACCACTCATCTCTTTCTTTAACTCTTCCAGCAATTCTTTTAGGGCTTGGGTCCAATTAGCAGTCTGCTTTGAGCTTTTGGTATTAGCTGTTTTCATATTATTGTCTTCTTCTGAGTTTGTGTCTTGGTCTTCCCTACTACCACAGTAACTTTTTATGGTTAAGTTCTTTTCTTATTGTTGTTTGCTCATTTTCTATCCTATTTCTTGCCTTTGAACTTTATGTTTAAGTTGGGCTCTGCTCATGTGGGATGAGGAGGCACTGTCCCAAGCTTCAGGTTTTTTCCATGCTGCCATTTTCAAAGTCAATTCTGAGAGTCTGCAAATTTTTGGTGTTCCCAAGGTATAAGACCTGGGGAGAAGTGTGATCATTGTTCTCCTGGTCTGTGTGCTAGTCTATCCCCAGGAAGGGTCTCTGCTTCTCTATAGTCACAAGCACTAGTGCTCCTCTTAGCCCTGAAATTATGACCAGGTCCCCTGCTCTCCTATGGCCACAAGCACTAGTATTCCTCTCAGACCTAGGATTATGACCAGATTCTCTTCTCCTCTGTAGCTGCAAGTGCTAGTGTTTCTCTCTGCCTTGGAGCTGTAACCAGAACTGCTTGTGGGCAGTAGTGTTGCCAATCAGCACCAGCTGTACTCAGTGCCAGAAAACTAGCCCCTCTTATCTATTTCTCACCAGTTGTTCAACCACCTTATCTCTGGGCTGAGAGCTCCTGAAGCTGCTGCTTCCACTGTCATAGTCACCTTCAAGGCCCACCCCAGTGGGACAGACCTCTCCTGCTGACCTCATAAGTTGTCTTAGGCTGGAAAAATGCCTATCCTGACATTTTGTTGGCTTTATATCTCCAGAATTCAATTTGAGGTATTATTTTAAAGTTGTTTGGAGGGGAATATCGGGAGAGTTGGCTGTTGCCTCTACTCTGCCATCTTGTCTCTGTCTCTGTTGTTGTCTTCTGAGTTTATGTTTTGGTCTTCCCTGCCACTGTAGCAGCTTTTTTATGGTCAAATTGTTTTACTGTTGTTTTCACATTTTTCCAGACTGTTTCTTGACTTTGAACTGTGTGTTAAAGTTTTGCTCTGCTCACTTGGGGAGTAAGGAAGCATTTCAAAAGCTTCAGGCTTTTTCTTTCTTTGCTATCAGAGTGAATTTTGGGGGTCTGCAAGTTTTTGGAGCTTCCAGGGTGGAATGATTCAGGGAAAGATAGGGTCACTGCTCTTCTGATTTGTATCCTAGTCTTTACCCAGGAAGAGCCTCTGTTCCCCTGCAGCCACAAGTTCCAACACTCTTCCTGGCCCTGGAACAGTGACAAGGTCCCCTGTTCTTCTGCAGCAGCAAGTCCTAGTGCTCCTCTCTGCCTTGGGACTGCAACCAGAGCTCCAGCTCCCTTGTGACTGACCACAAATGCTCCCCTCCACCTGGACGTATGGCCCAGAACTGGGTATGGAGCAGTAGAGGTGCTAAACAGTACCAGGTCCTGCACCTGGCGCTAGCAAAGGATCTCCTGTAATTTCTTTCTGACAGATTGTATGGCCTCCATACTGTCTCTGGGCCAAGAGTTTCCTAAACCATTGCTGCCACACTTCCAAGGGCCTCCCTTGGTGCTGCCTCTGAGTGTGCTCTGGGCCAGCCCGTATCTCAGTGTCACACACCTCTCCCGCTGACCTCCTTAGTTGTGATGGGCTGGAAAAATGTCTCACGCTGACTTTTGTTGGCTCTGCTGCTCCAGGATTTGATTTGGGGTCTTATTTTAAAGTTGTTTGGAGGACACTGTTGTGAGAGTTTGGCTGGGGTGCTGCCTCTACTTTGTCATCTTGACTCTACCTTGAAATTAGTGAATTTCAACAGGACAATATGGTACTTTACCAAAGATTTCTTGTAATCTTTTGTCATTTTGTCATTTTTCTTTTGCACTGAGCAATATTAGCATCCCAGAATGGTAAACCCCTGCTCCAGGGAAGGAGCCTGATGTTGATCATTGCCTAAGCAATTGCTACACTCTTGAGAAAAGAGTACAGTACTTGAGAGAGGTTAGCTCTTGCTTCATTAGGTCTTTTTAGTCCTGGACCAAGGTACAGAGCAAATTGAAACATTGTAATCATTTGCTAGATCTTTGCTTAGCAATTGAAGTGCAGTCCATTGAGGATGAAAGTTGTCCAATGCCTTGAGCCCATTCGAGCATTGTTCAGTCTTTCAGGTATCATATTTCACACAGCCCCCAAGAATACGTAGGCAGGATTGCACAAGCACTATTTCCCAACCCAGCAGAAAACAGTTCTTCCTCATTTAGTAAAAGAAGTAAAAGGAGCAAGGACTGAAGGGGTGATCCAGCATGAAGGATGGATCCAGGGCTGTGGAGACATCTCAGACCTCCTTGAGAGAGCCAGTTGTTAAATGTTCAGAGTAAGCATTTTCACCTCAGAGGTTGTCAAATGATCACTCAGATCTTGCTTTAATGTTTTTGTTGATTGTCTAAATTTAAGAAAGTGAAGGACAAAATATTGATAATGCAGATTAAACTTAAAAGTGTGACTTGTGGGAGAGAAACAGTTACACATTTACCAGCACATCCATGGGTGCATCACTACTTTTCATGCTTATCAACCTATGAGTCCTGGGTATTTCCAGTTCTGCTAGAAAGACTTAGAAGATTTTTCCTTATTGCAGAAGTCCAGACCTTATTCAAAGATGGAAAAGAAAAGGCTTTATAAGTGCCACATTTTGGATTAGAAGTCAGCAGGGACCATCAGTACATACTCTTATGTAACTCACCAGGAAAGGCAAATCCAAGCATGCTTTGAAGACTAGGCTTTTATTGGCCAGTCCTCCACTAGATATTTAATATTTCAGAGTAACCTTTGTTGAGCATAGGAAAGGGAGAAGACTAGAGCGTGAGGCTTATACATTGCCTTCTTTGAAACACTTGTATTGAAAATCCCGTGTGCCCAAAGGAGTTGGAGTCACTTTACTTTTGCTGTAAAGTGTGAAGTATTAACCTTCACATAATATATATGCTCATGTTAACACCATAACTTCCTTTTTCACCTGTGGAAGCCACTGATTCCAATCCTTTGTTAATGCTTGAATCCTCTCTTTGGCTAAGAGTTCTTTGTCCTGACCCAGAAATAATCATAGCTTACTTCTGACACAAAGTTCTTCATTACTTCCTCACTATAGTGTTGCGAGATAGCTAGTATAAAGTTTATTCCTGTTGGACAAATGGGGAAATGAAGCTCAGAAAGGTGAAATGACTTACCCTAGGTCATATGCCCTCGGTAAGTGACAGATCCAGAACTTGAACCCACATCTTCTTTCAAATCTAGCACTTTGCTACCTGCCTAACCCTGGAAAAGTAATTTCAATTGCCACAAAACAAGGAAGTTGGACTAAATGATCTCTAAATTCCTATCAAATTCTAAGTCCTTTAATCCCCCTCCTCTTCCTCCTGTTACTTCTTCTCTTCCTCCTTCCCCTCTTCCTCCTCCTTGCAACTATTGTCGATTGGGGGATGGTCCCTGGCCATGACTCACTGACCTCAGATAATGTCTGACAATCTCCTTTTTCCAGGCAGAGGAATGTGTAATAATGTAATGACTGTGATGAACTTCACAGATGACCTCAGAGTGAATATCACTGGACAGCACTGCACAGTGCTGGTGAGGTTGTAGAAAACATTATCTCCTTCAGGGAAAACATGAATCCAGATGTCAGGGAGCTCATTCTCATTTTTAAACCACTTCAGGGTGATGTCTCTGGGGAAGAAGCCAGTTGAGTTACAGGAGAAATTAATTGTCTGGTTGATCTTTGCTCTCTCATGGAGACGAGACACCAAAGGGGCAAAGGGTTTGCTGGAAACAGAGTTTTGTGGTAAATAATTCTCTGTCATTAGATCAAATGTAATAACTGGTATGAAAGAACTTTTTTCAGTCTTAAAGTACTACATGAATGAAAACTGGAATTGTCTTTATCATGTCCTTATCATGTCATTATCATATCAGTCATTGAACAAGCCACAGCCCAGTTTCTCAACCCCATCTGACTTCTCCTACCTGGGCATATGCTGATATACTCCCAGTGTCAGGAAGAGGTTTTAAAAATAGAAACCATTTTAGAAAGTGTATTTGTAGTCTTGGTCTACCAGGCTCTCCAGCTTCAGAGAGCAGCTACAGAAAAGAGAGACTCAAATACTATCTCAGAGTTCAATATTTGGTGTTGTTTTTTAAACTTCAAATTCTGGGACTGTGTTTTGGAGGCTTCTGGGAGAGAGAGAAAAATCCAGAAATTACATAAATTTCATTTACATTTTGTACTTCTCTATCTAAAAAAAACAGAAGAAAGCAGCACGCACATTTAAAAGAACCAATAGAGAAACCAGAGGGAGACTAGTCATTGATGGTGTAAAGTGGGACAAATGCCACCAGCCTTTTTGGTCTCTTCTGAAGCTCTTATGACTTTAATAAATCTGAGGAGCATTATGGGGGGCTGTTGGAAGCAGTTTCCTTATCATAATTCCACTGAATTAATTTTTTCTTTTTAAGGAAGCAGAGACTTTGAAATACTTGTTCCAGCCAGGGTCACTCTCTTGTCCTTGAAGCTCTCTTCTCTCTAGGTTGTCTTGATGGCACTCTCTCTTGGTTTTCCTCCTACCTCTCTGACCACACCTTCTCTATCTCATTTGCTAGATCCTCCTCCGGATCACTCTTTCTAACTGTAGGTGTTCCGTGGAGTTCTGTCCTAGACCCTCTTCTCTTTCCCTCTATATTACTTCATTTTATGATCTCATCAGCATCGATGGGTTTAATTATGATTTCTCTGCCAATGTTACTCAAATCTACCTCTCTTGCCCCAACCTCTCTTCTAATCTCCAATCTCACATCTACTGCCTTTCAGACATCTTGAATTGGATGTCCAGTACACATATTTTACTCAACATGTCCAACACCGAACTCATTATTTTCTTCCAAAGCCATCTCCCAGTTACTGTAGAGGATAATACCATGGTGGTGACAGTGTCAAAGGAGAGAAGGGAGTATATTTGAGAGTTGTTGCAAAGGCTGAAGTGACGGATCTAGGCAACAACTTGGATATGAGGGGTTCAGAGAGAGTGCAGAGTCCAGGATGATTCCTAGGTTGTGAGCCTGAGAGAACGAGAGGATGGTGCTCTCCTCTAAAATAACAGGAAAGGTAGGAGGGAAAAAGTTTAAGGGGAAGATAATCAGTTCTGTTTTGGACAGAGTGAGTTTAAGATGTCTACTGGAATCCAATCTGAGATGCCTGAAAGGTACTGCTGTTGATCATTATTAGGAAGATGAAAGGCTCAGCTGGCTTTTACCTTTCCTCCGCGGCCCTCTGTTCTCTCTGTCCCCTCTTGTACCCTGCTCCATCACCACCACTCAATCATTAGCAAACCTTCCTTTACCCTGGCCTTCTCTTTTTCATGTTTTACATCATTTAGCACACATGAAAGCCTGACTTTCCAGAAGTGACCACAGCCTTGAACATCCTCCAGAATACACGGTCCTCTTTCTTTCATGTTTCCTGACACACAGAGCCAAGAGGAGTTGGCATACTACTTGTTTCTCACTGTCTTTCAGATCTATTCTCTGTCACCATGGCTCAGAAACCTTTCTTCTTTGGAGGTTCAAGCCAATTGGCCATATCACACTGTCCATACCCCTGTTCATGTGATCTACTGACCTTTAAATCGTTCTTCATTTCTGAAAGAGTTTAGCACCTGGGTCACAACCATTCTCTCCAACCCACCCCTGCCTTCATATCTGGGAACTTTAATGTACATGTTAATGTCTCCTCTAATACCATCACCTCTCAGTTCATCAACATTCAAAATTTCCATGACCTATATTTCCTTTCTTTTTCTTTCTTTCCTCATTTTTTCTACCCAGACTGCTACATGGATGGTCATTCTTAAGACCCCAAAACTTCCCATAATTGTGCCACCACCAAGATTTCAAACTCTGGTTCTCTGATCATAATGGCCTGAGTTTAGAGAAGGGATTACCAAAGCAGCAAAGTATTATGGCCATCATTCTCCCCAACACCAGGAGACCAGTGCCTTGGAATGGGGCTTAGTGACCAATGAAAGTTAAGAAGAGTGAAAGGTGAAAACCTTGGGGAGAAAAGGCTAAGGTCTCTTGGATGGATCAAAGAAAGGCCAGTACCTTGGAACCTGGTCTATTGTCATGGAGGCCTAAGGCCCAAGCCAGGATATTTCATACCTTCCTAGGTTTGGGGTACCTTGTTCTGAAGCTGCAACCTCCCTTGTCCTACTAATTTCCTTCCTCAACCTCAAGAAAGACTCAACAAAAGAGAGGCCACGCTGGACAGAGTCCTGGGCCTGGGATTCCTAGCAGAACAAGGACAGGAGTCCCAGGGCTCTGTACTTACCCATCACAGACAACATGGTGCCCCCACCAGATTTAACCTCTGTGTCAGGATTCCCCTTTTTGAACTTCACACAGTAATAGGTGCCACTGTCCTCTGGAGTGATGTTGCTGATGGAGATGGAGAAGTCTGTGGTGCTGCTAGATGAGGCTGCTTTAGTTATCCTGGGGTAGGTGCCTCCTTTGAAATTATAAATTTCCTGTCTCTGAGGCTCTTTCCCTTTGAACCATTTGACTGGTCCTGCTGGTAGTATCCCAGGTACTGTGCAGTTCAGAGTGACCATCTCTCCCTCTGCCACAGACACAGGATCCTTAGGCTGCAGAACCAGGAACTCCTCCTGGCCTCGGGCTCCTACAAGAAAATATAGGTTTTAACATCATTTTCCTGCCCTGAGTCTCCCAGGATTTTGGCCTGGGTGTCTGTGTCTAGTTTGGGTCATTTGTGAAGCATCCAGATTCTGGGTCTGGGGAGAACTGAGAGGGAGTCATGGAGAAGACCTGTAATTCTGGAGCCAGAGATGATGTTGGGCAAAGACCTTAGAGCTCAGGTTAAGCACCAACTCCCATGTGGGGCCTCTTGTCTTCCCTCCTTCAACACCCATCTCACTTTATGTTAATAGCAAAGGCTTTGTATTTACTTTAGTCATGTTTTTATTGTCTTCATGTGTCTCTGTTGTTTCCCTCTATTTCAGTGGGAGCACCTCGAGGGTAAGGGCTCTTGTTTTTCCTTTGTCTGTGAGGTACACAGTCAGCACATAATAAAGGCTTATGGTTTGATGCTCTTCTTTGACCAGCAAACACTGGACTTAGATCAAGTAAGACCTGGCTTCAAATCCAGTCTGTGATAATCATGGTGTAACACCTGGAAGTCCCTTGCTCTCCTTCCTCCTCAGGAAAATGAGGTTAATGAGTCTTCAAGTAAGTACCACAAACTTTTGATGTGAGGATCAAATGAAAAAATCCATGTAGCTTTTGAAGTGCTATGAAAATTGGCAGTTCTAATTATTCTTGTTGCTGTTTTTATCATTATTTGAAAATTCCTCTTATTTCAGATAGAAACCAGCGATGTCACTCCTATTTTTCTTTTCTTTTTAATATTCTAGGAACTACTGCCCAGATAGTTAAAATAATTCCTTCTCAGGGGCAGCTAGGTAGCACAGTGGATAGAACACCAGCCTTGGAGTCAGGAGGACCTGAGTTCAAATCGGGCTTCAGACACATAATACTTCCTAGCTATGTGACTCTGGGTGAGTCACTTTATTCCAACTGCCTCACCAAATAAATAAATAAATAAATAAATAAAATAATTGCTTCTCATGATTGAATAAAAGTATTCAAATGGAAACTCATCTTTGGTAGGCTGACTGATAGCTTCCTTAATTAGCGCACTATTCCAGGAGCAGACAAAGTGCCCCAGATGATATATACTTCAAGCTGCTTCACACAATTTTGTTCTACTCTTCGAGGTCTCTGATTATTTGTATCATATTGGAAGAGAAGATCAGTACACCTCTGTACAACTCACAAAGCATTTATGACAAAAGATTTTCTCATCTTTTTAGAAAAATCATCCCTTTGGGTGACAGGTAACATAAACTATCCTTATCTCTGCCAATGTGCTCACAACAAGGTTCCAGTTTTGTTGGGGTTGGATAATGTTGGAGGGCTCCCTCCCTCCCCCACCAGCCTGAGATGATCCATCCAGATATTACAGGGGACTCTGGGGTCCACTCCACACCATGCCAGCCTGATCACAGGAGTACCAGGTTAGCTACCTGCAAATGCCCAAGAGGAGAGTCAGGGAGGCTTTGCTGTTGTTCATTTGTTTCTGTCGTGTCTCACCCTTTGTGACTCCATTTGGGGTTTTAATGGCAAAAATCCTGGAATGTTTTGCCATTTCTTTCTTCAGTGGATCCATTTTGTCAGGCAATCAGAGCTTAAGTGATTTGCCTAATGTCACACAGGTAGGCAGTATCTGAGGCTGGATTTGAATTTAGGTCTTCCTGACTCCAGGCCCAGTGCTCTACCCACTGAGTCATGAGCTGCCTCTTTCAGGGAGGTGAGAGATGATCTAAGTGAATGGGAGTGAGCACAGTGATGAACACCCAATGTACACTTGTTTTCTGTCTTTGCTATCATAGAATTTTAAGCTGTAAGGAAATTTAGCGATCGTTTAGTCCAATCCTTTCCGTCTCCATTACACATGAAGAAACTGAGGCCTAGAGAAATGCCATAACTTACCCAACGTCATACAGATAGTTACTGTTAAATATTAAGTTAGCAGAGGTATGATGTGGGTCATGAAACAACTGTGGTTAGTTTGAGACATTCCTCTGATTGAATCTCTTATGTGACTCCCTGTTTCCTCAAGCATAAAATAGACCCTCTTCACCCTATCCCCCATCTACCACTTGAAGCCCTCCACAGTCTGTTTCCAATTATTCCACCCTGAGTTCACATTATTTAACTTTGTGCCTTCTACATACTGGCTATTTTCTGATCTTTTTCTGCTATCCTTTGTTCCATGCATCTTTCATCACAGACTATCCCAATGCCTGAAATGTTTTTCTTCTTTTTCTCAACCTGCTAAAGTTTTTCTCTTTCTGCATGCTTTTACTCAGTTACTACATCGTTCATGAACTCTTCCCAAATCCTTCACCTGAAAATGATCTCTCCCTCTTTGGATTTTCTTAGACCTCTTTGTTTGAATCTCTCTTTTCCTCCTTCCTTCCCTCCTTCCTTCCTTCCTCCCTCCCTCCCTTCCTCTCTTCCTTCCTTCCTCCCTCCCTCTTTTCCTTCCTTCCTTCCTCCCTTCCTTCCTTCCTTCCTTCCTTCCTTCCTTCCTTCCTTCCTTCCTTCCTTCCTTCCTTCCTTCCATCCTTCTTCTAGCCTTTCTTGAGCATCAAATGTGCTGGGGATAGAAAGATAAAATTGTAATAGTCTCCATCTCTCAAGGAGCTTATTCTATCACAGTATACCCTTATTATACACATGTAGGTAGGTGACCTTTCCTTTCTAGTATAATATAAGCTTCTTGAAAGTAAGGGCTGTATCATTTGTCATCTTTTAAAGCCCAGGTTTGAACATAGTGCTTCAATGTAATAATAACAACCACAACAGTAATAATAACCAGCCTTTACATATCAATTTAAGATTTACAAAACACTTTCAATAACTCAACTCATTTGATCTTCGCAGCAACCATGCGGAATAGGTGCTATTTTTTGCAGATGTAGAAACTGAGACACATAGAGATTAAGTCACTTGTCCAGAAACATACAGACAGTAATTGACTAAGGCAGGCTTTTAACTCACATCTTCCTGTCCCCAGTTTCTGCATGCCATCCACTGTAGTTGGGATCTACCATGTTCATTGAGATGATTTAAATTGAACACTTCATGGCAGTCTCTACCTAGGGCTGATTATCTGGAGTCACATGGTAAAGAGATGACAGGCAAAAGAGAAAGAAAGACAGAGAGCTTTGAGACTATGGTTACTAGGACCCTGCCAAGAAGCAGGGAATCCAGAATTCACGGAAACAGAGGAAAGAAAATGGTGTGTGAAAGAGAATGGCAGAAACTAGTGGATGAGAAGTTATAAAAAACTAGAAGTTACAAGAGAGAGGGGAGACGGGTGCCTGGAGACGGGTGCCTGGGACTCAGGGATAGTCATTCAGCCTGAGGCAAGATTCGTAATTGGAACTCTTTCCTTTTATATCCCTGGAGCACTTGACCTGGATGTCTTCTGCCCCAGTCACATTCTACTTTTTGTTATGTTATTTTATTTCTGCGTCATATTCCTCCCCCAACATACTGTTAACTTTCTAGCACAGAGGGACCACGTTGTTTTACATCTTTGCATCCCTGGCACCTAGGCCAGAATTTTACATATAATAAATAGTTAAGAAATACTCAGATAAATGAATTGCAAAGATCAAGTCATAGGATGCAGATTCAAGTTCCAGTTGTACCACTTCAGAGTTATATAACTTTAGACAAATCCTTTAACATCTCTGGGTCTTCATTTCCTCACTGGTTAAATGGAAATGATAACATTTGTAATATTATACAATTATTTTGTGTCAAAACATTAAAAATTATAAAACCCTTTAGACATGTTAAATACTGGTTCTATATTATTATTATCTAATGCTAAGCTCTCATTTTAGGTGCAGAGAGGTTCAGTTATTCACCCAAACAAACACATCAGTTAGTGGCAGAGACAGAGCTAAATTCCAGGCCTTCTGACACTCAGTCCTTAGCTCTTGTCACTGTACCACATTTCCTCCCTACACCTCTATTGACACAGAACATTCAAGATTTCCAACCTATGGAAAGTTCCAGAAGGACTAACAATGGGAGAATCTCATCCCATCAGAATGACCACTAGACTTGGGTCAAGAAGACTGAGGTTCGAATGACAGCTATGTCACTTCTCATCGATGTAACCATAAACACAACTTTTCTGAATCTCATTTTTCCCATCTGAGAACTGGAGACAATACTGCTTGGGCTTTCTATCTCACTGTAATCCTGACAGGAAACCATTGTGTGAGAGTAACATTCTAGAGAAAGAAGAGCTATATGTCAACTATGTGAACACATCTCTTCTTGTCCTTTTCAGCACTTGACTATCCCTGCAGGCCCTTGGTGTGACACCAGTCCCAGAAAACCTCTCTGCCAGGCCATAATGATCTGTCCAGATGTATCATGAACCTCTGGATTTTTCCCTCTTCTTCTCTGAGGTTCCCCACTCACCAGAGAAGCCAAGGAGCAGAATCAGCAGCAGAGAAGGCACAGGGAAACCAAGTAGGTAGAAGAGGCTGGACATTTCAATAGGTCTTTGGTGCTTTCTCTCTGTGTGTGACTCTTTGTTGGCTTGGATTCATAGAATGGACAGTGGCTCTCCTGCAGGGAAAAGTTGGAGTCAAACACATCCGCCTCTGCTCATTGGGTAAACAGCTGGGGTTAAAGAGTTCCTCTTCTTGGCTGAGAAATAGGAAGTGGGAGGGATATCAGTTTAACTTCCTTCGGACTCATTGTTTGAGGTCTTGCTGTGAATGGTAATAATCATCTAGTTTTTATGCAATCAGATTCCATCACTCGATTTTAAAAATCATGCAGAGGCTCCCTATCACCTAGGGAGAAAACACTTACTCCTTAACTTGATGTTTAAAGGCATCAGCAATCTGGCTCCAGTCTATTCTTCCTACATTATATCACACTGCTCCTTTGTGCATTCAATACCCCAGAAAAAACAAGACATTCTCTGGTTCATAAACTCATCCTAGCATCTCTTGCCTCTGCACACATGCACATGTCACTTCTGCCTCCTCATCTCTGACTTTTGAAATGCTTCTCTTCTTTTAAGGTTAAATTCAGGGGGTGCTTTCCCTATGAAATATTGCTGAACACTGCCCCTTCCCCTCTCCCTATCTAAAAGTGATTCTCATAACATTTCCTTAGAGTTCTATCTGAATCTCTTCTTTGTCTCTATCACACTCTTCTTATAGTATGTTTTTGTTGTATAGTCGTTTCAGTCATGTCTCACTCTGTGACTCCATTAGGGCTTTTCTTGGGAAAGATACTGGAGTAGTTAGCCATTTCCTTCTCCAGCTCATTTTATAGATGAAGAACTGAGGCTCTCTCCCCTCCACCATTGTTCGTTCAACAACCAAAGTGATTTTCCTAAAAGGTAGGTCTGACTACATCATTGCCCTCCTCAATGGACTTTAATGGCTTCCTATCACCTCCAGAATCAAATATAAAATCCTCTGTTCAGCATTCATTTTCCTTGAAGGCAAGAATTGTTTTTTAGTGTTTTTTTGGTATCCCTAACGTTAATGCTATACCTGGCACATAGCTGGCACTTAATGAATATTCATTGATTGATTGACAGAGGACCTTAATTTAAATTCTAATGTGACTCTATCTGTGAGACCCTGGACAAGCTATTGAGTCTAGAACTGTCTAGCATTTTAATCAGTAAATGTTTTAGGTGACAGGCTCATAAGCTCAGGCACTGACACAAAGCAGGGAGGGACAGTAAATTCAGCACATGACCATCAGGACCCACAAAGATGTCTACAAGAAAGAAGGATGCATCCAATCTAGAACCAGGAGGTGGTGGTTCTATATTTTTCTGCATTGGCCATACCACATCTAGTTTATTACATTCAGTTTTTGGTGCCACATGATAGGAAAGGCATTGATAAACTAGACAGCATTCAAGGGACAGTGACCACAAAGCTGGGAGGTCTGCAAAACATGACAAGGAGCTAGGAATAATTAGTCTAGAGAAGAGAAGACTTGGGGCTGGGTTTTGGATGGGATGGAGCAGAATATCTATCTTCCCATATTTGAAGAACTATCTGGGGAAGAGGGGTTTAAACTTAGTCTACTTCCCCCCAAGGACAGAGCTAGTAGTAATTGTAGAGGCAGGTTTGAGCTTAGTGTCAGAAAAAGCTTCCCAAAGAGTAGAGCTGTCCAAGGTGGAAAGGACAAGCTCCTGAGGTTCTCCTTCAGTTGGAGTGGTCAGGGAAAAGTTGGGTGGCCTCTTGTACTGGAAGACAGGATAGAATAGATTTTGAGCCAGGTCTATACTAGATATCCACTAAGATTCTTCAGTATTGTGGGACTCTGAGTTTTTTTGAGTTCTCATCCTTTAGATCCTAAAGGGATGTCTGACAAAACTAAGAAGGAGGCTAAATGTGCAATGAAAAAAGTCCCAGGCTAGACATCTGAGTAATAATAATACTCATAGTAAGAATAATAATATAATAATAGCAATAGCCTTCATGTAATACTTTAAGGTTTTCAAACTGCTTTATATATATATATATATAGATAGATAGATAGATAGATAGGTAGATATAGATATATAATCTCATTGATCCCTACAAGAAACCTTTGAAGTAGGTGCTATTATTATCCTCATTTTTCAGATAAAGCATTCTGAGGCTGAGAGGTTAAGTGACTTGTCTGAGGCAAGATTTAAACTCAAGACTTCTTGACTTCAAGTCAAGTAATCTAATCATTAAGGACTTAGCTGACCTCTAGTTTTGGCTCTGCCCCTCAGATTTGCTGTGTAACTTTAGACAAATCACATTCTCTCTCTGTGTCTCAATTTCCTCCTCTGTAAACTAAAGATTTTTGACTATGGTGTCCATGATCCTTATCTCCGAGTAGATTGGGGTGATCAGAACTTTTACACATAAGAACACATTTAGAGGGTATTGACAACACTTGTAGGATTTGGCAGTGGAGAAATAAGGGAGCTTTATAAAGTGTATGATGTAGTAGATAGAGAATTGGCCTCTGTCAAGAAGTCCTGGGTTCAAGTTCTGCTCACGACAAAGAGAAGACAGAAGGAAAAATCTGAAATTGTGAGTGCTAGATTGAGCTCCCTTACTGATAAGAGGAGGACAATGAGCTGAAGTGGCTTGGTAGCTTTGATTTTATGTTGGAAGAAGTGACTGCAGTCTCATGCAATGTGTGAATGTCTTACAGATGTGGTAGCAAGAAGGCCAAGAAGTACCACAGCTTATCCTACTGCCTGGATTCTTCCCTGTTTATCTAGCCCCTTTATCTTTCATCAAGAGGGTAGGAGAAATTGAAGTCTAGACCTATGTTCAAGAAACCAGAAGAATCTGCCTAGCTATGCCACTCACTAGCTATGAACCGTTGGGCAAGCCATTTTCCAGGCTCGGGCCTCAGTTTCCTCCTTCATAAAAAAATCCACAACAATTGGAGTAGATGATCTCTGAGGTCCCTTCCAGTTCTAACACTCTGTGCATGTGCCAAGAGTTCTGTCTGTTCAAATAGGCTATAATCTGTATTCTAATATATATTTTCTAGACATATTCTAATATATATTCTATATATATGAATATAGAATATAGAATATATATTCTAATATATATAATCTGTATTCTATTTACCTGTGATATGCTGTGATTCTAAGGGCTGTGTAGTCCCATGAGATCCCCAGAAGGAGAAGGAGCAGAAAAGTCCAGTCTGGAAACCTCAGGGAAAGAGTGCCTGCAGCATTTTCCAATGGGACATTGTCTCAAGGAGTCAATGCAGCAGAATTACATTTGTCCTAGAGCTTCCCTTCTGAGAGAGGACTCAGGCCAACCATCCTTCATTCCTCTCTCAGTTCTGATTCTGATTTTTTGAACTTTGACACCAGTGTGGGTACCTTCCCTGACACGTACTTTTCAGTTTTTTTTCTGTGTTGATTTTCCCATTTGCCATGTAAGCTTCTTGAGGACAGGGCTTGCCTTTCTTTTGCTTGTATGTGTATCCTCAGTGCTTACTCCTGTTCCTAGAGTACATTAAATGCTAAATAAATGCTTACTAACTGACAGGCGTAGTGGCACCTGTCTATAATCCCTGCTACTGGGGGGTAGCTGAGGCTGGTGGATCCCTTGGGTACAGGGGGTTTGAACTACAGTAGGGCAATGCCGATCAGCTGTCCACACTTAGTCTGACACAAATTTGGTGAGCCCTTAGCAACAGAGGAGGCCACCATGGTAGTCAGCATGGGCCAGCTTGGAAAAAAAGAGCAAGTCTTAGCTTCCATGTTGATCATTTGACATCTGGCCCATGAGTGGCCACTGAACTTCCAGCATGAGATAGGGAGGTACAGTTTCAAAAAAAAAGTGAAACAAACCAAACAAAAACCTTAAACTTGTTGATTTAGCCTTGGGACAAATCTTCTAATCTCTCTTGGCCTCAGCTTCCTGGTCTGTAAATTGGGGGTGATAATACCTACCTCACAGCATTATTTTGAGGATCAATTGAGATGATGTCTGCAAAGTGCTTCACAAACCTTTAAACTACATTCAATTCAACAAACATTTGCTAATCACATACTATATGCCAGGCGGGGGATATAAAAGACAGTCCCTACCCTCAAAGATATTGTGATCTAATGGAGGAGACAACATGCAAACAAAAAGACACAGACCAAGCTAGACAGAGGACAAATAGTAAATAATTAAAAGAGGGAAAGCACTAGAATTAAGAGGAGTTAGAGAAGGCTTCCTCCAGAATGTGGGATCCTATTGGGGACATAAAGGCAGCCAGGGAGGTCATTTGTTGGAGTGGACAGAGAGAGCATTCAGGCATGGGAAATAGCCAAAGAAAATTCCAGTGACTAAAATCTGGAGAGTCTTTTTTTTTGTGGAACATCTTTGAGGCCTGTGCCCCAGATAGAAGAGTACATGTAGGAGAATAAGGTGTAAGAAGACTGGATAGGTAGGAGGGAACTTGGTGATGAACATTTTGAATGCCAAAAACAGCTTTTTTTATTTGCTCCTGGCATGAATACATAGCTCCTGGAGTTTGTTGAAGGAGTTAGGAAGGGGGTGAGGTGACATGATTAGGCCTGAGTTTTGGGAAAATCACTCTTGTGGCTGAAAGGAGAATGGTTTGGAGTGGGGAGAGACTTCAGGCAGTCAGGCCCAGCAGCTGCTAGTGCAGTAATCCAGGTGTGAGGTGATGAGGACCTGCACTAGGATGGTGGCAGTGTCAGAGGAGAGAAGGGAGTATATTTGGGAAATGTTGCAAGGGCTGAATTGATCGACTTGGGCAACAACTCAGATATGCGAGGTGAGAGACAGTGCAGAGTGTAGAATGACTCCTAGGTTGTGAGCCTGAGAGAATGGGAGGATAGTATTGCCCTATACAAATTAGGAAAGGTAGGAGGGGAAAGGTTTAAAGGGAAGATAATCAGTTCTGTTTTGGACAGAGTGAGTTTAAGATGTCTACTGGAATCCAGTCTGAGATGCCTAAAAGGCACTGCTGTCAATCATTATTAGGAAGATGAAAGGCCTTTGAGTGCTCTGCTAGCTTTAACTTTTTCTTCTCTGCCCTCTGTTCCCACTGTCCCCTCTTGCACCCTGCTCCATCACCACCACTCAATCATTAGCAAACCTTCCTTTACTGTGG